TGGTGGAATGATCTTCCCAACCCTATCCGGAATGCTGAATCCCTGACAATATTCAAGCAACAGCTGAAAACTCATCTCTTTAAACGCAACTTGACTTCATCTAAAAAAAAAAAACTTTTTCTTTCTCTTTATTTATTCCTTGCCTTTTCTAGCTTGTACTTATTTGAACAATGCCTAAAACTTTCATTTCAAGCACTTCCTGTGTCTGTTTGCCTCTTTAAGAAGAATCGCTTTATGTATTCCCCAATTGTAAGTTGCTTTGAATAAAAGCGTCAGCAAAATGATTAAATGTAAATGTAAAATGTAAAATACAATCATAAAGTCAAAACTTTATTGGCATAATTGTCAGGTGTTTATTTACAAAGTATATGGTAGGCTAGCAAATGCTAGCATAATTATACAAAACGTTAACTAGCAATACAGAAATTGAAAGGGCAAATAAGCATATATATAACAATAAATATAAAAATATAGCCCTAATAAGTTAATGTAACAATAATACAAATAATAAGTTAAATGTTTAATGTTCATAAAAATGTTTTATCTATTTTTGATAATCCGGGGTTGCTATGGTCACGCAGGTTTGTTTACGCATTAAACTCGTGGCCACGAGAAATGGATGTTGTTCAATACAGAAATTGAAAGGGCAAATAAGCATATATATAACAATAAATATAAAAATATAGCCCTAATAAGTTAATGTAATAATAATAATATTATACAAATATTAAATTAAATGTTTAATGTTAATAAAAATGTTTATCCATTTTACTGCACTGTACTTACACACAGGTGAATAAAAAACATGTTGTAAAAAATATATATTCAAATAAAGATTAAATTAAAATGTATTGTGTTTTAACATGAATTTATATTTAATTTAGTGATTTGATTACTCTGCTTACCACTAGAGGGAGCCTGAGTATCACTAGTGCTACTCGTACCACACTTTGAGAACCACTGCTTTAAATCAGTTTATTGTATAAAGCGCTATATAAATGAATGTGACGAGACTGGAGTGCCGATTGCAGAGCTGGTGCAAATTTATCCACATCACCATGATCACATGCAACTCAACAGCCTTCGTGACTGACATTTCACAGCAAGACATTTAAATAACAGCAAAAAACAGCTAGCAGCTAACATTCAATTAACATTTCTATGTCAGATGCAGGCTATGGTAGGACTTACCTGCTTTCGATTTCCGAAGTGCCGTCTTGTGTGTAGATCCAGCTACATGACTTGAAAGAGCCGCTTCTCCCATCCTATCCACTTTGATAGATTTACAACAGGCTCTGCACCTGGCCAAGTGATGGTCCTTTGGGTCTCTGGCAAGCCATTCTTTGTAATCTTCTTTGGTGAGCCAAATATCTTGAAACTTGCATTTTCCAGGCATCACGTTTCAGCGGTTTAGCCTATTTTTGCAGTGTTTCACTGTGTGTCTGAAACGTTGAGGTACCATCACAGTAGTTTTGCGCGCGTGTGAATGTCATGGCAATGTACAACACAAAGTACACTTAACGTAACGCGCAAATGCGTGTAACTAACGTAAATCAAGCAAGCTAGTATGCATAGGCCACGAAGTGTTGGCGAAAAAACACATTAGCGGAGGGAATAATATGGAATCCAGATACATGTTTTCCACGCATGTATCTGGATTTATAAAAAACAAACTTGGCATAAATAAGTGTGCACTGTACGGATGCTATTGACTCCGTACACACTCTTTTTCACAAACGCAACGTTTATACACAAGGCCCCTGGTCTGAGGTCTGAATGTTAAAAAGTGCTCTACTGCTTTATTTCAAGCATCTAATTTAGCTTTAGAGGTCTCATATAATAAGCTTACCTGTGTCCAAGGTCAAAAAAACACTTTAGTTTTCTCATAATACATATAGCATCAGTGTGTGAAACTATTCGTTTAAGGATTCAATCTCTCTAAACCCTGCTTTCTGAGTCTCTGCTCTGTTCTGATTGGTCAGATGTCTCAGTCCGTTGTCGGTTCTACCGTTGTTTGAGAGTTGGTCAAACTACACATTGTTCACAAACAGCCAATGAAAACCAGAGGCTGGGCTTTTGTTACAAACCTACACAGGTTCATGCAAGAAGTAAGTCTGGGATTACTGATGACTCGTTTATTTCGTTTGAGAGACAGTCTTTTAATTTGTCCTGCACTTTCATCTTTTTACATTGATATACAGCTATATTACACACTACATGAAAGGTCATACCTGAGAAAGCATAAAAGGGGCACTTTAATAACTAGATGAATGATTGTGCTATATGAGACAATATGCAATGCAAGCAGCAGAGCAAATTAGTGTGTGCAAAACATTACATGCATGTCATCAGAGGAGGGTAACTGGTGGCTTTGAAATGAAAGAGGCATGAATTTATCATTTTTCAGGGATAAATAACAGATATAAGCTTATCAGTGATTAAAATGAGTATTCTTTTTTTTTTTTTACCTATGTGGCTGCTACTGCAACATTTAGCCAAGTCTAGTGTAATTTGTTCAATTCTACAGAAAGCAGCAGACATGTGACAAAAGAGAAATGTGTAAGAGTTCACCTTTGCAAGGCGGCCTGATAGCACTGGCTCCTGAAGGCATCTGCTCATCTGATGATGGTTTGCTTCTCTTGGGTGCTGGAGACATATTCCTCTCGGTAGGAGGAAGTGCCACCTCGGCTGAAGGTTCTATGGGAAATAATCAAAGACATGAGAAAGTAAAAAAATAAATAAAAATGTACTATAAAATGCTGACAATTCACAAGTGATGTGTGTTTTTGTCACACTAATGATTTTAAATAATTAGTACATATGCAGTAAGTGCAAGTAACTCTAAAGTGTGCAGTTGTTTTAATCATTGCAAGTATAGTTGAACTACATCTACATCTACATCTACATATGTCTTTGCAATTAACATTGTATAAAAATAAGCTCAAAAACTCTCTAAACGGAGTACTTACTTTTATTTCAGTCATAATGGAATCATCTGACAATTCGTTTTGTGCCTCAACCCATCCAACGTGAGAAGAGAGTGGATCAGCTAGCATTACACAACAATTTTAAGTTCCCTATCGATACTTCACTCGTACTGCGTCTTGCTAGACGCTAAGGGAAAAAGTCATTTTTTCTCCTGAACTGAAGCCTTTTTCAATCACACAGTGAAACGGCACGGCCATTGGCACATGTTTTAACCTGTTAACCTGCACCCCCAATTTTGCGACTCACAGTTGAAAATGACCTACCTAACTTAAAATGGTAACAGTTCCTGAAAAAAGTGTGCTACACACACAATTTAGGTCTCTTTGGAAAGAAGACCCTTTGGGCTTTACTATCCATCATGCAGAGTTGATAATGCTCAAAAAGATAAAAAGTTATAGACACTGAAGTGCCTTGAAAAAAATTGTACCACACTGAATATTTTTTTTATTTCATATAAAAATACATGAAATAAGTGCTGGAGCAATCCAGAAAAGTAATGGGTTGAACGTCACATGTCTCATGAGTTTCTGTTTCAAATCTGAAGAAGATACAATGAAAAATGAGACTCCTGCAGCCATTTTTCTGAGACTATGTCTAGTCGCAGTGGAACGATTCTGCCCACCTTCAGCAACGCACAGCAGTCATCCAGTTCCCCTGCCGCCATCTGGCGAGATATAAGAGCAAATTTCACGGTGTTGTTTCAAATGCCACCCCATTACTGCAGTACGTGCAGGACTCCCCATCGTGAGTGTGTTTCCTGCCTGGGGAAATCCCACGTGGAATCCACACTCACCGAGACGAATTGCTCCCACTGCGAGAGCACGAGTCTCGCCTCTCTGCTCTCGCAGATAGCTTTCTTTTCTGAAAGCGACTCCGCCCCTCGGGCCTCCCGTTTTCTTCTTCCAAGGACCCTGTGAGGGAAAAACAGCAGGGCAGAGGATCTCAGTGCTCGGATGCGAGCAAGCTTACATCGGCTCAGGTACCTTGCGTACCTCGCTCTCTCCACACTGAGAGGCTTCCCCCGTTCTCACCCAGCCTGACCAGCGTCCCTCTGCTAGCGCGAGTGATCTGGTCTCGTTCAGTGGGAGTGACAATGAGCTGCTGGATAACAGCATGTCATTAGCAGCTTTGGACACGGAGGAGCTGTCGGGCATGATCGCTGACCCCGCCTCTCTGCCACCATCCGAGCCCAGCAACGTTAAGCCCGGGATGGATGCCGAATTACTCTGTGTCCTCTCGAAAGCCGTTGAGGAGCTGGGTTTGGAGTGGTCTCCACCAGAAGCACCCCCCCACAGCTGTCTGGACAAGTGTTTCCTGCGCAAGTCTGCGCCGACTCAGTAGCCCACGAAGCCTGCATCTGCGTCTGCGTCTGCCACCGCCACCCAGCCAGCCAAACCTGAGCCTCAATGACGTTCTAGCTCAGCCAAGCGCTACCCGCTTCCAAAGTGCCAGGGACCCCGGCCTAACCTAGCGCTTAGTGTTCTCTGCCTGCTGCTCAAACCGCGGTGAGGACCTGCTCACCTGTGAAGTATCGGTGATACTGTCATTCCTGCAGGAGCTGTTGGATAAGGGACGCTCCCCATCCACGCTCAAGGTCTATGTGCCAATGATAACGGCTTCTCATGCCCCTATAGCGGGCCAATCGGTGGGCAGGAACAACCTTGTTGTTTGTTTTCTGAGGGGAGCCAGGAGGCTAAATCCGCACCGACCTCTCACTATCCCTACGTGGGACCTGCCCACTGTTCTGAGGGCCCTGAGGGGTCCTCCCTTCGAGCCGTTGCAGTCTGTCAACCTTCGGTCCCTGTTGTTTAAATCCACTCTGCTACTAGCGTTAGCATCAGTCAAGCGAGTGGGGGACTTGCAGGCACTCTTTTTTGGGTTTCCGCCCAGTTTAGGCAGTCGGAATAGCTCTTTGTGGACTTTCTAAGTGGATAATTGGCACTATTCAGGCTAGCCTACTCTTCCATGGACCTACAATGCCCCATTGAAGTACGAGCCCACTCAACTAGAAGCATTGCCTCTTCGTGGGCGTGGTCTGGCGGCGTGGCCATTGCAGGAATTTGTACGGCAGCCGGCTGGGCCTCACCATCCACTTTTGCTAGGTTCTATAACCTGGATGTCCCTGCCTTGCAGGCAAGTGTTCTTTCTGCTTAACTGGCGCGCAGTTCGCTCTGAGTGAGTTTGGATGTAATATGTCCAGACCTATCAGAGAACTTACTTGTGCGCTCTCGGCCCCCATAGGTGCTGAAGCTGTGCAAGTCTTCTGGAACGAGCACTCGGCCGGGTGAGGCCTTCATGAGGCTTAGCCCGTTAGCCTGGAAGGATTTATTGTTCTTGTTCTCATGGCCCAGAGGTGCCTAGGTCAAGGATTACCATTGTCGCTCCTCTGCCACGGCACGGCGTGATTGTACTGTTCACATAGTGTCTAGCAAGACGCAGTATGAGTGAAGTATCGATAGGTAACATACTCGGTTACAAACGTAACATTGATTCCCTGAGATACGGGAACGAGTACTGCATTGCTAGCCATGCAGCTGCACGTCTCAGTCGTCGCTTCAGTCAAAGTAACCTGAATCCAATGGCGAAGCGGCTGCTTGTATAGCCAGATGACTCCACCCATTCTGGCATACTTTGGCGGGTTTCGCGGCCATAGGTTTGTGCAGCACAGCTGCCGAGCCATTGGTTAATTTTTAAAACATACTGCACGAACCAATGGCCGTGCAGTTTCACTGTGTGATTGAAAAAGGCTTCAGTTCAAGAGAAAAAAGGACTTTTTCCCTTAGAGTCTAGCAAAACGCAGTACTCGTTCCCGTATCTCAGGGAACAGAGGTTACGTCATTTTATAGTATCAAGTTCCTCAAAAAATCTTTACTGTAAAACACATTGAAGAATATCTTGGAGGCATTTGATTCGTTACACAAGTAGTTTTGACAAAAAATAAGCTTGTTCAGTGCACTGAAGCATCTTCTTTAGTGTTGGAACAATGTTTTTGCCCGTCAGGTCTTCACAAGTCACTTGACTGAAAACTATTCATAACTGCAAAATGTAATCGTGTATTTTGACAGTAATACAAACCATCAACAGTAGATGAACAGTGTCCTTCTTGTATGCTCCCGTCTTCCTCATCACAGTCAATAACATTTTCTTCCTCACAGTCAATAACTTTTTCTGTGGAAGTTCAAAGTACATCTTTACAGTGGTATATAATGGCTCGGTAACACATGGTATATGAATAGGTTTTTTTTTTTAATCTAATAAAATAACACACCATTAGGAGTTATCCCAATTTCATTCAAGTTCTTTCCATGGAACTCGGCTAATCTTCCTTGCTCAAGAGCCATTAAAGCTTTGCTGATCTTGGCAAGTTGCAGGGTCTTCTCAGGGAGTCGATAGACCTCATGATGGATTCTTATGTCGTGCCCAAGAAAGTTTGCCAGCTGGTTCATCTCGGTGTCTGTCATGTTCAGCACTGTTGAAAGGGTTGCAGCATGCTTTTGCAGCCTGGTAGATGTCAGAGACTCAGGACACTTTGCACCACACACCTTTGCAAAGACACGAAGGCAGTCTGACCCTCGGAAATGTGTCATGGCGTCTGGTCTAGCAAACATATAGGCATTGACTTTTAAAACCCCACAAGCCTCTCTCTGCTTAACAAGGAGTTCTAAGGAACACAGCATTTTTGGAGTCAGAAGAATTGGAACAGGTCGACCATGCTTTCCCCTGATGATAAGCCTTGTGAAGTGTCTGCAGAGTTTCTTCTCCACTTCGGAGAGTGCCCAGTCCACATCCTCATGCGGATCAAAAGTGTCTCTTGATAAAAACGCAGACAAAGGCATGCTCGCCACCTCTCCTTCTCTCCGCCGGTTAAAGAGAATTATCTGGGCTAGACACGCCTTGGCCAGCTCCATCCAGGCTTTAGTAGAGGAACTTTCAGAGAGCAGGTTGAACCACTCGTCTTGCACTTGACTGAGAAAAGTATGCAATTTTTGTACATCTTCAGTAAAGGGCATGAGAGTGGGCACATTGCACTTTGCTTCCCTGATATTCCTCAACGCTGTAGCCGAGATCATCTCATTCCACTTATTCGCATGGACTTCTTGAAACTCACTGGCATTCATCACAAGCTGTTTGTCGTTGGAGATTAAGCCCTGGGCCTTTAAGAGTTTGCTTACTTTAACCAGGGAATTCCCAAGCTTATTTGCAAGTGATGGAATCATGAATTTGTCAGTTTCACTGTCATACCCACATGTACACTTGACAGCTTTGACAGTCTCCATGTACTTCTTTGGATTTACACAATCTTCCAGTGTTTTTAAGGAGGTGACTCTCCTGGCATTGTGAATCAACCTTCCCAATTCTCGCATCTTCTCCCGCGCACATTTATCCTTATCTGATAGCCCACCTTTGTTCAACAAGTGCTGCCCAATTTCAGTAATTGCTCTGTCATTTATTATTATATCTGTGATTGGGTCAGGATTCATGGCACTGATTACTCCCCACAGTTGTTTGGTCATGTTTGAAGGCACAGGCCCAGTGTAGGTACACATGGACTGAACATGTTTTTTTCCTGGTTTGGGGGCGACTGATTGTGGTTGAAGTCTACAAGTACGCATATGTCTCCACAGGACCTTTCTTGAAAAAAGTCCTTGACAGTATGCACAATGCATGAAATCTTCTCCCTGCACTTTTTTACGTGGTCGTTTAAATGCCACTAGTTCACCCTTTCCTGACTCCATAACAGCAGCATTGTGAGCATAGTTTCCTCTGTTGCGAATATAATCAAGCTGATTTTTTCTCTCCTTTGAACCCTTTGGAAAGCTTAGAGCTCTAGCCACATCAGACTTATTTTCATGTGAACTTTCTAGATGCCTTGCCATCTTAGCATAAGGTTTAGTGCAATACAAGCAGTAATGTCTCTTGTTGTACACTCTAGCACCATCTCTCTTTTGGTATGCACTAACAACTACGCCGTCCATTGTGTTCTGACTTGAACTGGGTTCTTCTCCTGTTCCAGATGCTTCAGATGTAAGGCCATGCATTTTGTCTGATGTTGTTGTGTCATAGTCAGGGGAACTCACTGAGCCAGATTCATCAAGATCCAGTTCATCAAGAAGCTGACGTTTTGTCTGGTTTAGTGTAAGGCTAACATCACCGTCACTTTCAGAAGCTGTATCTGGAACGTAATCATCTGAACTCTCTGGTGTAGAATCAAAGAGCTCATCAGCATCTTCAAGATTTGTGTCTTTCATCTAAAAAAAGAAGAAGTAGAAGAAATAGGTAGAACTGCTGCAATTAATTGATCAATAGATTAACAGAGATACAGTAAATTGGCAACTATTGTCAAAATCAAATTAACTATTTTTCCCCTCAATTTTACAAGTTGCATGTAATGATTTGCTGCTTCTTATTGTGTTATAATAAGGTTCTCAGTGAAATAAAGTTTTGGGCAGTTGATCTGACAAAAAAAAAATATCTAATTACATAAGTTTGGTCTTTAAGTAAAATACAATTCAATTATTCTCTGATATGTTGCAGTCAAAATATCACATAAGAATATAGTAATATTACATAAATAATTTTAAACCATTCACTAAGTTATTGATGATGAGAATAAATGTAGATGGCAGCTCCAAGCAAAATCCCTGATCAATAAAAAAAAATGTTTTCATCAGATCATCAAATCTCATTTTCATTTTGGCACTGTGTCACAATCTGTAAACAAAAAGGATTAACATTATTAAGTTGGCTTGAAAAACCAACTTACTGAAATCCTATTTAAACTTCTTCATCTTCTGAGACCAAATTTTAAAGTGTATCTCCTCCTAGGCTTTTAAAGCTATAACCACCAAACTCGGCCCAAACTTTAGACTGGTCTGACTCGGGTTGCTATATATTTTCTAACTGATCGGACTTACGGTTTTCCTAAAAATGACGATTAAAACTGGGAAAAACTTACATTGATGGAATGTTCAAATGAGCAGACTCCTCAAGCTCCAACTGACAAACATTCAAATGTAAACACATTGATGCCCATTAGACTCAATTAGGCTTCCCTTCTATGTACTATTTATTATCAATTTAAAGTTATTTAAGCTTCCACTCTAATATTTCTAATCTATCATGCTAGCAACATGCTAGTAACATGCTAATCATC